GACGCCTCTAATTTTGAAGCTTCATGAAGCACACCTCCAAAACCTTCAATAACGTCGCCTGTGAAGTATTTTGAATTGGTATAATCTGGCCACAAACGATCAGGTAATGATGATTGCCGCTTTGAGAAAATTGTTAATGTCGGAAGAAATCATAAGAATGGCGCTGATTATTTTGATGAAGATACCCGAGAAAAAGTGAGGAGAATTTTTGAATCATTTCCCACACAAGAATCGGTCACTTACTGCAGACAAGTATGAAACGGCGAAAATATTTCAAACCTATCATTAAGCAGATCGTGAAATTCAGTACTAGTCTGAGATGGTATTTTATTAAGATAAGTACATCACCAATTTGGGAAACGGTACTGCTCACTTTTCATTTGCTTTCGGTGACAGTGGCAGCAACAAAAAATGACCCGACTACTTAGCACTTTGATTCAAATTTAAGATTTAGAAACAGTAAAAGAACTTCTTACCGCAGTAATTTTTTTTCGCCCAAAAAAGCACATGCCAATATTACTCCATAAATGAGCACTATCTGTATGCACCCCAGCAGCTATTTTGTACTTGGAAAGTGCTACGTCGTAGTCACCGTGCTGCTGAATGATACTACTTGCTGCAAAAATGGCACGCCTGTGGTTTGGATTAAAGCTAAGTGCCTTTCCAAGGGCCTCGAATGCCTCTTGCTGCATATTTGTCTAAATAATAAACGTTCATTAATCAACTTTGGAAGGTACCAGAAAACATTATTTTGACTTTGTTTTATGATGAAAACAATATATTTAGTCTTTTCCACAACCTTTCAATCAATTTGTTTCAGTGACCTTGAGATTATGTCAAGTATAAACAAATAGACGAACGCATATCACACAAATTTGATCAGAGAATAATGCTGATAATGGCAGTGAGATTATAATCCAAGAAGAAAATATGAACGATATTCGTTAAAGGAGATATTCACAATCTTCGTCAGCATGACATCTGATAATTACAGGAGGAAGAAGCGAACGACGAAGCGCTTCCTTTCAGCATCGTAAATGAATATCAACACCCTTTTGTTGATATGATTTTGAACCTACCTGACTCAACTGTTTGTGGAGGTGGGTCGAATCTGAAAGAGTACTTGTCCTCCAGCTTAACTGCAATTCTGACAATAGGCGCTGTGAGCTGACTGATTAGTTGTCATTAATAAGTCTCCGCAGCACGTATAAACCGGAATTCGGAGCAAGTATTGACTCCAAGCGCAATGTTTCCATTCAAAGCTTCCAGGCATGATAAAAGATTGAACGAATAATTTAAGATCATTTCGAATCCCATCGAATCGTGTTAGCCTGCTCAGAAACGACAAAGCACTGCCAAATTTTAAGGGTAAGTTGTCGATTTTTCAGTCAGAGGCAAAATGCTTTACTAATCATAACCAGATATTTCACTTCAATACAAACGGTCCAACTTCAAATACAACTCTGCATGACAAAACCAAGATAATTTTTAGATGGAATCAGAGCAGGAACCATCCGCGAGTAGGAGAGAGACAAAACCCAAGTTTGTACGGTAGGTATCATGATTCCTATGCGAGCATACTGACGCCAGTTATTCATTCAGAGGCAACACAATGAACAACTAAAGGGCATACACCAGTGGATGTTGAAGAGATAATTAGTTTATCCCGTAGAATTGCCTGAAGCACAAAAGATGATAACTGAAAGTTATAAACATTACACATATGGAGCTGTAGGCCACATCAATTCTTTTGGGCACATACTGAATCCGGCTCATAATCGCGCTCTGTGATGCAATTTTTGATAAAACTTAATCAATATAATTCCATGATTCGATCGCTGCATCTTCTGAGGCGAAACAAGGCGCTACAGGCATTTAAAAGCGAGTGAAAAAACGGTAGCGGGTCTTCCAGTTTCGACGGATTAGATTGCTCAGACATAGGAATAACATCCACGTTCATGTTGTAGCTATAAGGTCCTGAGAGTGCTGTGTATAATAATGAAGCGTCCGATTCTTAGGAGGAACGTGCAAGATCATCCCGTCCAGCAGCCGATGACATAATTATTTCACTAAAATTCTTTTTGACTTCCTCCACCAAAAATGACGTCTTTAAATTGGTAAGATATTGACGTATCATTTCTCTTATCTAGATGCGGAAACAGCTTGTTCAATCCATCACGTTCAAGTGCCTAACGACGATGCTCATAATTCACTGCTTTGTAAACGGAATACACTAGTCGTATCCGTACCGAGTGTTAGATACTGCAGCACTCACTTGTACAGTGGTCACTGCCATGAAACAAAGACCAGTTCGTGCACTCAAGAAAGTGTCCGAAAGGCACCCTATGCTTTTCGCACAGTAAGCGAACCGTATGACGACTGGTTGGAAATGCAACGGACATCACAAGCCAGAAACGTTTTGAATATGCAAACGATGTGACGGAATAAACTCAGAAAACATGTGACAAACAAGTGTTCCATATGTATGTTATTAGTGTCCTCGCATCTGAGTTTTAAGCCTATAATGGGTTTCTAGGAATGAGTAAAGGATACTTCGACAGCATGATGCTTACAGCCTACCACAAGACTTATGCAACATTGGGAATGCTTGTATTTAAGAAGAATGCATGTAATAACCTAAAAGAGGCTTTGAACAGGCTAATATAAACGACTGCGAGGTTTATGACAAGGTGTGCGTTGTGAAGATGTATCGAAAGCTGTGCGAACTACGAATTGCGAATGGCACTTGTATGGAGTCCGCCTCAAGTAGCCTGAAGCATCTGACAATATCCACGACGCCATTTTTAGGAACACTCCTTTAGTTAAGCTAATTCGATACGCACATTCAAAATAAGGTATTCTGATAAAGGAATCATTCTGTGCCTTGGAGCAGAAAAGCTGAATATTTATCGTCCAACGTAATAGGTGACAGCTGGAGAGGCGCTACAAGGTTGATGACAACTCATGCAACGGCGCCATAAATGATTCAGGGCAAACAATCATGATTCGAGTTGTTTACAAATTCGGGTTCTGTGTTAGTCTTGATCAGACAAACTGTTGTAGGTATTCTCAGTACCACCGATGCTGAAACGAAAAGCATCGACAATAGAAGGTTTTCACCATCGATGCTTGGCTTTGCTTGTGCGTTTAATAACGAATCTAGAAGTTAAAGAAAAGAAAGAGATATTTATATCCGC